CCTGCTGCTCACCCCACTCCCGGCGCCAACCCCGGAACCGGCAGCACAGCCGGGGCTGCTGTCAACAGACTTGGCAGTCCCTCAGCTGATCCTCGCGCAGGCGGTGCGGCGCGCCCTGCGATTGGCTGGCAGAAGGCCCACCGAGAACTGTGGCTAGAGCGGCAGCTACAAAGCCTCTGGAGAGTGGACGGGTAAGGCTAGCGGAGCCTGCGCAGAAGAGGGACTGTGAGCATATTCGCCATCTTTGACGCTGGCCTGGACGACTTCATCTCCCGCAGATCACTGAAGTTGCTGCAGCGGACGCCATGACGCGTTGGGCAAAAGGGACGGATAACTTCTGGATTGGACGTCCAAACAATTTCTTATAGTTTCGCCTAAACTAAGGTGCCCTTTAGACCGAGAAACAACGGTACACTTTCCCTGTAGTAAGGGAAATATGAATGGAAAATATGTTCGTATACCATTTTTACACATGGATTACAAAAATAGGGAAATCTGAGTGCACTAGCTTCTTTCAGTGATAGTATCTTCCGTGTCCGTGGACGTGTAAATCTGGCTCACTCTTGGAGGTCAGGTTTGCGGTATCTTTCCATTGAAAGTGGGAAAGTATCTTTCCTTTGACAGCAGTCCTATTATAGACAACTAAGTTAGATAAAAATATTGCAGGCAGTCAGACAGAGGTAGGTCCACCAGAGAGGACAGAGATAAAATCATCACAACTATGGCCGTAGACATCTGCTGGAGACCAGGCCTCAAGAAAAAGAGGCAAACACCGGGTCTAATAAAATCTAGATAGATATCAGTCACTTGTTTCCCAACTGGATCATTCTTATCTAAGCGACTTACTTGTAACTTTATTGGTTGATCGTAGCTGTAATGGGTTTTGATCTATAAAACTCCATAAAGTGGGAGTACCTGGCTACCCATTGAGAACCACTCCTGCCTCTCAGGAGCTAGCCTGTCAATATTTTCCTACCTTTTTTTTTTTTTGGTACCGGGGATCAAATTCGGGACCTTGTCCTTGGGAGGCAGGCCAGCAAAACCCCTGAGCTAAATCCCCAGCAATATTTTCCTACTCTTAATCTCCTTTCATAGAATTCATTCTTCGATTTTTAGAGAACGCAAGCTCAGCATATCAGACATCTAATAGGTTGGGATAAATATTTTCATACTTAATCTCCTGTATCACATACTGCATCAGCCCCACCTCTTGGACTATGTATAGTATGAAGGATGCTGAAGAAGGCACACTGCACCCCCATTCCTAACATCAGAAAAACAAAAACAAAACAAAACAACAGGAAGTGGAAACTGGACACAGATAGTAAGGCTTGTCCATGCCATAGAATTTCAGGCAGCTCGGAGAACAAAGCAATGTCTGGACTGTTGGAGCACTCCAAAATGAGATATTGCAAGTGTGGAGCAAGCATCCAAACTGGTTAAAAAGGATATATTGTAAGACTTAAGTCTCACTTTTACTCCTGGAGCGTGAACAGCCAAGAGGCTTCCACGATGCTGGGCTCAGAAGCTCAGCAAGGCTCCAGGAGCTTGTTGGACAGCGAGAGTCACCCAGGAAGGAACACACCAGGCAAGTTGGCAAATAGACCTTTATTAGTCTGGCCAGACGGCACTCCCCAAGCCAAGTAGCTCAGAGAGGCGGCTAGCTCAGAAACAGAGGCCATTTTATATAGGGCTGGGGGGGGGGGTAAACTTAAAACTTACAGGAAGAGGACAAAGGCAAAGAATCAGTTGATCTGAGCTAGTGGTCATCAAGCATATACTTCACCGTCACGTACTAATGATCAGCAGAGCGATTATCCATTATTCCATTTACAACTTAGATTATAATGTTCAGAACATTCAACTACAGGCAAGTAAGGAGTGGTGTGATTTGTGTTGGGTCTCTATGTTCACTACAGTTTCCATTTAGTTTCCCAGCTACTTCAAAGCAGTTACCTAACAATTCACAATTAATCATTAGTTATCCTATAAGGGATGGGGGGGGAGCGACAGTCTCTAGGTCGTTTGCTGGTCAACATGGAGTCGCTCTGGTTCAGTCAGGCTCTTACAATATGCATATATAAACATGGAATACTGGTGTTGTACCAGCCACTCATGTCTGCACATTGAGTTCATTTGTTTCTACTGACCCAAACAAAGGAGACTATGTTGGAGAAAAGGAAAAAGGTTTTATTCAAAGCCAGATGCAGGGAGATGGAGAAGACTCATTTGCCTTCAATCACTGTCCCATGGTGTACAGATGTGCAGGGGTCTTATATGTCAAGGAACTAAGCAGAGAGGGAATACAATGAAGCAACACACTCCCAGGTTTCCTTCATCCTCCCTCCTGCCCTTTTACTCTCCCTGTCCTGCGCAAAGAAACACTACCTCCTGGGGCCTGCCTTCACTTACATTACCAACTCATCTGGACTGAAAAGAGCAAGGAGTGGTGGTTATGCCCCCATCAAAGGAAGTTAGAAGTAGCTTATCTTCAGAGCAACAGCTAAAACTCCTTACCTATCTTCTCTTCTTTCTCAAAGGTTAGGCCTATAAATCTGTGCTGTTGCTTCAATGTTTTTTCTTTTTCTTTTTTTTTTTTGTACCAAGGATTGAACTTGGGACCTTGTACTTGCGAGGCAGGTGACGGCACCACTGAGCTAAATCCCCAGGCCATGTTGCTTCAGTTTTAATTCCCATTATCACCACAAGTTCCCACAAGTGTCCTGTATCAAAAGGAGTGAAGAGACTATTTTTTAATATACAGCTGTGTATCCATTAAAGACATGGATGCAAGAGGTGCCTCACTAGGCAATTTCACTGTGTGATTATCAGAGTTTGGGTGATACTCCGATGAGCCTGAGTGTTGGAGCTTAACTATGGTACACACCTAGGCCATATGTTATAGACCTGTGGTGGCAAACCTATGGCACATGAACAGCCACAGTGGGCTGTTTATCATCAAAAGTTCTAAAAGGTTTGTCATAACTGCTACAGACTATTGCTGCGCAAGTACAAACCTTTACAGCATTTGCTACATTGAATATTGTAGGTAACTGTACCACAATGGTACATAATTGTGCATTCTAAAAGGTCCTGGGACCAGGGCCTTCACACTAAGTTACATCCTCAGTCTATACATTTATTTTTGAGACAGAGTCTCACTAAGGGTTAGTTAAGTTACTCACACTGAGCTTGAAGTCAGCAATCCTCCTGCCTCACTGGGATTACAGGAGTATGCTACCATGCTCAGCCGGTCCATTTAACTAAATATTTATATTTGTCCCTCCAATATTTGTTTTGATTTCACCTTTCCTCATTTCCTTTAAATCATTTTATCCTCTGGGCTCATGGCTGCATCTCTTTGCACAACATTTTACTTTAAAAATTAAAAAAAGGGGAAATTGGAGCATTTTTTCTAGTTTCTAGTAGAAATTGTATTTCAGAATTACCTAATTGTACCAGCTGAGGGAAGGCTCTTTGTTAAAGAATGCCAACAAAATGTAGAAGAAATTATAGAATGAGAAAAGTAGACAATATTCTACTTCTTGAAATCATTTATACATACACAAATATGTTTTTTAAAATTTTTTGTACCAGGGATTGAACTCTGGACCTTGTATTTGCGAGGTAGATGGCAGAACCACTGAGCTAAATCCCTGGCTGCAAATATGTTTTAAAACTATTAGATAAAGACTTGAGGGGAACTAGATATTTAGTAAATGCTGTATTACACTCCATAGGTTACTTCCTGATTTAAAGGAAAAAAAACCCCAATTTTATTATGGTGATATGTGGATTTTTAACCTGATACCTGTGATCAATTTTAACCCACCCAAAATTTGTTCTAATAGAAATTATGTGTTCACCAATGCAGTCTTAATTCCTGAAGTCCATGTCATCTTGTAGAGGGTATTCTAGCAGAAAAAGAGAAGTTTACATACCCTGATTTCACCATGAAGAAACATCAGACAATCCTGAATGAGGGTCATTCTGTTAAAAGGCAGGAGGGAGGAAGAGTCCTCAGAAGTGTCCACATTAAAAAAACTCCACTGTTGCCCATATGTAAGACTGTGGGACTCAAAAGACACATCTAAGTACAGTACTTAATCCTAGATTGAACAGAGTGCTGGAGAGGAAACTCTTTTAAGGAAGGGCACTGTAAACATTACGTGACTTGGTGGAATTCTGTTACTGTTAAATTCATTGATAACTACTGGGTTACACACAGCTTGCTTGTACTAAATATGTGATCCTTCTACTTCTGCCTTTCCAGTAACTAGGATCAGAGGCATGCACCATCATGCCCAGCACCATGATTATTTTCTCAGGTTATATGTATTTCTAAAAGTAGAAGTATGAGTGAACAGTATGTGTACATTTTCAAGATTTTAAGTATATATTACTATATCACTTTCCAGAAAAAGTGGGTTGATTCATAGAAGCAACTGCACTAAATTCTTTGTAATATTTATTTTTTGAGCAGGTAATATAATCTCATGGCTCAAAAAAAAAATCTAAAGAGAAGTCTCCTCCTATCTGCCTGTGTCCTCTTCCACTATTGCTGAGCTTTTCTGGTGTTCCTCCCCTTCCCTCCCCTCTCCTCTCTCTGAGACCACACAAATAAAGCAAGTGAGGGTGAACTTTTTCCAGTAGATAAATCAGGTAAAGCATTCAAGTGTTCTATATGCTCCTCCCCTCACCCCCTTTTCTTTCTTCCTTGAACTCAGGACTGATCCCAGGGCCTTCACACTAAGCTACATCCCCAGCCCTATTCTTATTTTTTATTTTGATTTAGGTTCTTGCTAAGTCATTACATTGACAAGCACCTGAAGTGGCTCTGTATCTTGGTTATTGTGAACTGCACTGCCAGAACATGGGTGTGCAAGTATCTCTATAGTATGTTGCACTGTTGTTCTTAATATATTCCTGGATTTTTGTTTCTCAGAGACAAGATCTCACTGTGTAGCTAAGGATAACCTTTAACTTGGGAGTGATCTTCCTGCCTCAAACTCCCAAGTGCTTGGATTACAAGTGTATGCCACTATGCCTGGCTATATTACTGGATTGCGTTCACTAGAATTTTGGATTTTTTTTTTCACCAGGGATCAAACTCAGGATGTTGTGCATGTGAGGCAGGCAGTAGAACCACTGGGCTAACTCCCCAGACCTAGATTTTTTTTTTTCAGTATACAAAGTGACTTTGGTCTCTGTATTTTCTGAAAAAGGAACCTATTTGATCTAACTTTTCAAATGGTACTCATTTCCGCAAAACATATCCTAAAATTGTAATACAGAGAAGGTTAGCATTGCCCCTGCTTGAGGATGACATGTAAATTTGTGAAGTGTTCCATGTTTATTTTTTTTCATAAAATAAAACAGAAGAAAAAACAATGTCATATAAATGCAAAATACCTCTGATGACCCTAGTGAGCTTTATCACTCTCACTCAGTTGCCAAAAAAAGCACAAGTCTCATAGCTGAAATGATTGCACTTGACCTCCAGCCATACTCTTTCATAGAGAATGTTGGCTTCAACAGGCTGCTCCATTACTTGAAACCTCAGTACTCCCTCCCTTGCCCTTCCTACTTTTTCAGAACAGCTATTCTAGGTATGTATGACAATGTGAAGCAGATCATTACATCACAGCTGAAGGAAGCAGAGAGTGGGGTGGCCCACTTCACCTCCGGGATCTGGATAAGTAACCAGACCTGTGAGTACCTTACTCTCACAGCACACCGGGTCACCTTTGCATCCTCTGTCCACCCACACTCTGAGGACGCCCACTGCTCAGCCCTTCTGGACATGTTGCAGGTTGATTGCGACTACAGTGGCAACAGCATCTGAAAGCAACTGGAGTGCTGGTGGGAAGGAAGCCTGGGTGACCTTCCATGGCCTCCAGATTGGCATCACGGTCACAGACAACCCAAGCACTGCAAGACGCTAAGTGAAGCAGAGCACTTGAGCGTGCAGTGCTTCAGCCACACAGTGAACCTGATAGTGAACGAGGCCATCCAGAGCCAGAACATGGTGCAGAACCTGCAGAGTCTGGTGCAAAAGCTGTGCAAGCATGAGCAGTGGTCTCCCAGGGCCAAGGAGAAGCTGCTGCTGCACCCACTTATCCAGGATGTGCCATCCCAGTGGATCACATCCTTCCACATGCTAGAGCAGCTGCTGGAGCAGAAGGACATCAATGAGATGTCCACTGAATGCAACTTCCGGGAGCTTATCAGCTGCGACCAGTGGGAGGTTATGCTGTCCGTGTGCTATGCACTGAGGCCCTTTGACACTGCCAGCCGGGAGATGAGCACCCATGTGTCCACTCTGAGCCAGATTATCCCCATGATCCACATCCTCAGCAGGAAGGTGGAGATGCTGTTCAGGAAGACAATGGGCATCAACACCATACTGAAGTCACTGAAAGAAGCCATGGCCAGCCACCTGTCCACCACTCTCCACGACCCCAGGTACGTCTTCACCATGCTTCAGGACCCTCGCTACAAGACCTCCCTGTTCATAGAGGAGGTGGCAGAGCAATACAGGCAGGACTTAATCAGGGAGCTAGAAATACTGAATTCTACCTCAGAAGACAGCCGCCTCCCATGGCTGTGACTCAGGGTCCTTGCCAGCGCTTCCGAAAGAGAGGACCTGTGGTTGCTGGTGGCTGAGGTGAAGAGGAGAGGCAGTAGGGAGAAGCTGCCCGAGGACACAGCGCTTGCCTATCTACAAAAAGAGGTGCTGGAGCACAGCTGTGACCTGCTTGACTACTGGAACCTGAAGCACTTGTCCTGGCCCGCACTGTCCATGCTGGCCCTCTGGTTTCTGGGCTGTCCTCCAAGCACCGTCACCTCCGAGAAGCTGTTCAGCACCCACACAGAAAACAGCAGCTTTGGCCAGCCCAGGCTCATGATGGAGCATTTTGAAAAACTCATCTTTTTGAAGTGAATCTGCCCTTGATATACTTTCAGTAATGAACCCACCATGAAGCCGCAGACCAGAGGTGCTCCTCATAGTGCACTGTTGTTGTACCAGGCTGTGACTTGCCCAGCAGGACCATGTGAGACACCGGGCTGGCCTCTGGGGCCACCCACCAGCTCTCACATCACATCCACTTGTGCCTTACTCCTCCTGCAGCCAGATATTGCAGTGTGTTTTCAATAGCCCACCAGCAACAGCCTCTCTTTGATGATGAAATAGGATGATCATGTTTTAGCTCATAACTGTAAAGTTTTTAAAAAGTTAGCATTTAGCAATTTGTTTTACTAGAATGAAAAGAAGACATAAACAGTTTTATTCTGCAGGTCTTTTATTCAATTGTATAAAAACCACAAATCAGGCACTATATCTCAGTTAAACATTGCTTTAATTGCAACAGAACAGCTTTCATCTCTGTCCAAAGAAAGGTATGAACAGGAGGTGGAGTCCAAGCCATCTTGACCAAGCAGTTCTCAGCTGTCAGCTATAAGCATTGAGCAGAGAGAATATTCTGGAAGCTGACTCTTAAGAGGGACAGGGCATTTGAAATGAAACTGAAGTGAGGCATTGCCGAGCATCAGTCATTTGGTCACCAGAACATTCCATTCTGAATTTTTGTATTCAGGTTTTTACATAGTTAATTCAGAGGTACCCCAACTCTGTATCATTAGCTCCTAAACAATGGATCCAAGTTTTAAAATTTATGCTTATGATTTAGCCAGTGCATAAAACAAGACATTTATAGCAGACAGCCTGTTGATCCAGTCTCTGTGCGGGTTGTGCAATGCTGTGCTCTGAAGCCATTCCCCACACGTGTGCACAGACCCCCCAGTTAGAGCAGTTATGACTAACATCCCTTTTAGAGGAGATGGCTTCTTAAAACAGGGAAGGTGCTAGTTGTACTATAGTTGTGAAAATAGCCTTGCCTTAGGCATTTAGATTTTTTGTGCTAGGGAAGATTCAGCTATCACTTGGATGTTTAGAATCCCAGTGACATCAGAGTGAAATAACAGTTGTCTTTTAACAATCAATATGTCCTCAAAGTTTTTGACATCTGAAAAAGGGTTCATTTTCTCATTTCAAATCAATTTAATATTGATCTTTTAGAAAAGGTGTCTTTTTGTTAAAATATTGTACCTATACTTAAATCTAATTTGCGTAGACTATGCTTTAGTGTATTTATAAATGGTGAACTCAGTTTCTGAAATTAAATTTTTTATTTGCAAAAAAATGCGAAATAAATTTTCAAATGTATCAGCCTATATTTTATTTGCTTTGTGTGTTTTGTTGGTTTTTGTTATTGTTTTCAGTACTGGGGATTGAAACAAGGAGCTTCACACTGAACTACATCCTATTAGGATTTTTTGAGGCAGTGTTTTGCTAAATTACTATACACAAGCTTGTAGTTATCCTGCCTCAGCCTCCAGAGTGCTGACTATAGGCATTTGTTACCACAGCCAGTTTTTGTTTTTTTTTTTTTTTTTGGTACCAGGGATCAAACTCAGGTCCTTGTGCTTGCAAAACAGGCGCCAGAACCACTGAGCTAAATCCCTGGCCCAGCCCAGGATTTATTTTGAGACAGAGTCTTGCTAAGTGACTAACTTGCCCGGGTTGGGCTTGAATGTGTGATCATACTGCCTCAGTTTCTCAGAGATTACAGGCATACACTACCACACTTGGTTAACCTGTGTTATTCTCTATTGATTTTTCAAAACTTTCTCTTTAGTTTATTGTCTCTCTCAGTTAATTTTTGAGAGGTTTTTCATATGCCTTTTCATATAATGCTAATAATTCTGATCATCTCTATTATATGTTTGCTATCTATATTACTAATTTCTCTTCCATTCTGTTCATTTGACTAATTTAAGGACCTTCTCAAATGTTCCAAAGCAGCACAGACAGAATCCTGTGTCCACTGCCAGTGATTTCAGCATCTCCTTAGCCATCACCACCCACCATCCTTTTCCAGGAGCTGGACACAGTACTATATTACAACATCTGTTGAGAGGGTGAGACCCATCTATTACCACAGGCCTCAGCTTTCATTTAGTGCACACTTTGGCCCTTGCTGCTCCTTTTATAGTAAGTGTATTACAAATTGGGGAACTGGAACCTAAAAAGCTTAAATAATTTCTAAAACACTGCAAAGCAGTAAAATGACTAACAATGCAAATGAAGTATGTTTTCTTCCGATTTTTGCAGGCCCTCAATCTTTCTGGCTTAATCTATGAAAAATGTAAAGATTTTTAGTTAACCAAAAAAACTTAACTGTTTTGTCCAAGGGGAGTGTAATGTACTAACTATGAGGGAAAGAACGGTTTACTCCTAGAGGAGTGTACGTGGGCTCAACCCAATCTCTGCCACCTGGAAGTGGGACTTTCATGGGCATTGAGTTCTGAGCAATGAGCAAGGCATCAAATGGATGAAATGTCAGCACCAGGGTAAGGCTAATCTACCATAACCATCCCTGCACCCAATGAAAGGTACCACTGCATTAACAAACATGAGAGATGCTGACTTCTTGTTCCTTTCATTGCAAAACTCTCCCAATGAATGCAATTTAACACTTGCACTCTGGCACCAGCCAACACAGGGACATGACTACATCTGTTCATGTGGCAAAGGCATTGTTGCAGGAAAGGAAGCCCAGGCAGAGTGCTGCTATGGAAACATGGAGCCCAGTTCTGGTATCACCCCACATTTCCTGTAGTCTTTGGCAAGACACAGCCTGTTGACACAGGGATTTGCATCAGTTGGTGTCTGGAATTTCCATCCCTGTGACTCTTCTGAGAGCTTGCTAGGCAGACAAGATGTGGATTCTTTCTCTGCACTGCCTCATCTGTTTCTTAGAAATCATGCTCCCAGTGTCTCTAACTTACTGGTGTACTACATGTTTACAACTCAAAGGTCTAGGGGAGTACTTCAGTTTACCCATGTTCTCTGCAGACCATAGCCTGGTGAGCTAGGGGTAGAGCACAGCACTGACTTATAACTATGAGGCACAAAGTGCTCCCTCTATGGTTTAGGTGTACCTGGATCACAGCACCCTGGACATGGGTGAGACACAGTTTATGGTATCTAGTCAGGATGAATGCCAGAATTCATCTGCAAATGGTTTCCAATGAGCACATACATATCCATTCATGAAAGAATTTACTCAGTGAACATGTTGGGATAGAGATTCTCCTCCAACACAGCACAGACACGTGTCTGCAGCTTACAGGTGCTCCTCACAGAATGTTTCTGTCCAGATAGCTACCTGCTCACCATTTTATGTGGAGCAGAGCCGGTCCTAGGTCTTGTATTTCATATTCTGATGCATCCTTTCTCAGATAAACACTATCCAGAGCCAGACACCATGCACACTGATTACTCAGGCCCTTGCAGAGGTGCCTCATGCCACTGTGATTTGGGCTTAAACCTTCGGTACCATTTGGGTGGCTGCAGTGGGGACACCAACTCTTTATCTTTTTTATTCTTTTTATTCTTTTTTTTTTTTTTTGTACCAGGGATTGAACTCAGGACCTTGAGGTTGTGAGGCTGGCACAGCACCACTGAGCAATACCCATGGCCCCAGTTGTTTATTTTCATTCCTAAGCCAAGGGTTTTCATTGTTGTGTAGGCTGATGTTACTTTCCTGAGCTTAAGCACTCCTGCCTCAGTCTCCTGAGTGATGGGACTATAGGATTTGCCCCTGTGCCTGGCTAAGACCATTGTTCAATGTTCCTCCACAAAATGACTCTAAAAACTAACATTCAAAAGTTAATTTAGGCTGGGGATTAGGCTCAGTGGTTCCACCATCTGCCTCACAAGCGCAAGGTCCTGAGTTGAATCTCTGGTACAAAAACAAAAAAGTTAATGTAGCTAATTTTTTACCATGACACACTTTATTGTGAATCTGAGCTTGATTTGTGTTTTAAACATGTTTATTTTTGGTGCTAGAGATTGAACCCAAGTTCTCACACATGCTTAGTGTATGCTCTGGGTGAGCTACACCTCCAGCCCTAAAGTTATAAATGTCCCTTCACTTCCCTTTCTCTTTCTATTCATCTCACCAGTGAGTGCAGCTACAGCAACATCTCTTTGTTGGGCACCTTACATGATTCAGGTATTATTAAATAAATTTGGTGTTCCCTAGTTTAGCCTTCTGAAATTAACAGTCTCAATGACAAGATGTCACGACTACCTAGATAAATAATAATCATATGCAAAGATCCTACAAAGTTGAATTTCTTTCTGTTCCACTCACCATGTGAAGTTACACTGCCTGCTCAGTGTTGCAGAGTTTTCCTGAGAGATAAAATTTACAAGGACAGCATGAGGGAGAAGGGTCTTTCCCTTCAGTGTATAGCAATTGAAGAGGGTGGAGAAGAATTCTGATAGTCCATCATATGGGCTGGGGTGTGGTGGTACACATCTGTAATCCCAGCACTTGGGAGGTTAAGGCAGGAGGATTGCTGTGAGTACAAGGCCAGCCTGGGCTAGTGAGTTCAAGGGTGGCCTGGCCAACATAGTAACATTTTGTCTTAAAAAACAAAACAAAACAAAACCCCACCATATATAGATCATCTTAGTACTATTACAAAGAAACCATTAAAGGTACCTTAACAATGCTATATTCTAACTACACCCACTCTCAAAATATTCCTCCCTCCTTCCCTTTCCTCCCTTCTCTTTTCTCCTCCTCTTCCTCTTTCCTCTTCTCCTTCTTACCTCCCTTACTCTCTCCCTGTGTCTTCTTGTGCTGTGTATTGAACTCAGTTCTTTCACATTGAGTAATATACCCATCCATTTTTAAATGTGTTTTGTTTTGGGATAGGGTCGCACTAAGTAGCCCAGGATGGGCTTGAATTTACAATCCTTTTTCCTCAGTGCCCCAGGATGCTAAGATTATGACAGTTGCCACTACATCTGGCTTCCAAATTATATATATCAATAGGACTGGACCAGAGTGACACACAAATTCATTAACACAGATTACACTGAGTGGCACCTCAGAATTATCCAAACCTGCACAAACCCAAATGTGAAGAAAAAAACTGTTATATAGCTAAGTAACAGTAATTTCTCTGTAAATGAAGTTTCATGCCAGTGAGAGAGAATGAGAGGCAAAAGGAAGGTGAACTAATTTGTGTGTGTGTGTGTGTGTGTGTGTGTGTGTGTGTGTGTGTGTAGCATTGGAGATGGCACCCAGGGTCTTTGCACTGAGCTACATCTCCAACCTTTTCTGTTTTGAGACAGGGTCTTGCTAAGCTAGTAAATTAGCCAGATAAGCTTGAATTTGTGATTCTCCTGCCTCAGCCTGAGTGCTGGAGTACAGGTAGGAGCCCACGCAGTAGGAATGAGATACTTATCAGATGGTAAGATATGGTACTGGGCCCCATAGGAAACCAACTTAACTTCACTGCTTCATGGGATAAGTAAAGCCAGTCTGGTTTAATTTCAGGAAAACCAGCTTTGCTTTTTCAGTTTGTAATGGGAAAGGTAATTCAATTATGTTCTTGTGTTTATTCTGTGGTACTGAGAAATGAGCCCAAGAAGCATTAAGCTATATATGTAGACATTTAAAAAAATTTGAGACAGGGTCATGTTAAATTGCCCATCCTGGACTCAGCCTGAGTCCATGCTGAACTTCCTGCCTCTGCCTCCTGAGTAGCTGGGATTACAGAGGCAGGAGTGTGCCACCACAGTGGGATAGAATAGGTTTTCATCTATGGCTAGTTATATACACTACTATAAGGAGACCCTTTGGAGAGTGTTGCTGCTGCCCATGTGCTGTTTTCACTCTAGTACGTGGGAACCTTAATATTCCCAGCCCTTCCTGAGTCCCAGGAGTTTTCAGTCTACTGTTTTCCAGTACTGTCTTTCCTAGTTTCAGGAAGTTTCCTTTCACAGATGTGTGAATACTGACTAAGCCTAAGTATTCAGAGACTCTGTGTAGATTTCTGCTCCACCCTTCCAAAGCCTCCTTCTCTATAGCACCTTTCCCTGTAAATTCTAGTTCCTGTGGCTTCCCCAAATGCCCCTCCTGTTTCTTCAGTTCAGCAATCCCTTCTCTGAACAGCAACTTGAAAACCACCACCAAGCAGTAGACAGGTGATTATACGGCTCATTCAATTTATCTACATTATGCCAGGGACCAGAAACCTGAAACCTGTGCTTATGTGTCCAAAAGCTATCATTAGTATCATAGTATTAGTAACTATCATCAGTAGCCACTGATGCATGAATGGACAAAGAAAACTGTACACACTGGGATATCATTCAGTCATAAGAAAAGAACATAATGGTGGTAAAATCCTGTAATCTTAGCACTCTGGAAGTCTGAGGCAGGAAGATCACAAGTTCAAGCTCAGGCTAGGCAATTCAGTAACTTGGAGAGTCCCTATGTCAAAGTAAAAATTAAAAAGGGCTAAGGATTTATCTTTGTAGAAAAGCCCTGGGGACCAGACATTTAACTCAGTGGATCTGTTGCCTGCCTTGCAAGCACAAGGACCCGAGTTTGATCCTTGGTACAAAAAAGCCCTGGTTTTCAGTAATACACACACACACACACACACACACACTCACACACACACACACACAGCATTTGTATCAGCGTGTGTGGAACTGGGGAATTCTTATAGGAAGTGAGGGGACAGGCATGGAAAGACAAGCACTGCACATGGAATTTAAACATGATCTCAAAGGAATATAGAATGGTGGTCCCCTAAGCCATGGAACAGCACATGGAATTTAAACATGATCTCAAAGGAATATAGAATGGTGGTCCCCAAAGCCATGGAACAGTGTGGATCAAGATAGATGCAGAGACGGTTATCAGGTCAGGTGTACAGCTAGATAGGAGGAATAAGTTCTAATGTTCCAAAGCACAGGAGGGCTATTGTGTTTAGCATCAATTACCTGAACATTTCTGAGTAACTAATGGAATGGGTTTGATCATCAATAATGCAAGGAAACAGTAAATGTCTGAGGTGATTGCAGCATCACTTACCCTGATCTAGCATCAGCATTTGTACGCACATATCAAAATGCCATACTTTCCCCACAGATATTTATAATTAGGATGTGTCAATTAAAAGCATATAAATAAAAAAGAATTACTTCACATATAGTTTCTAAATGATAGGAGCGTCAATCTGATCCATGTTATTCCATTACAGCAGAAAACAAAAGTCCTCACCCTTAAGTAAATACACCTGTGACTTAAAATCAATGACTTTTTCTAATAATTCATATACAGTAAACACAACTTCCTCACAGTATTGTTTCAACAGAATCATGCTTATCCTTCTTCTCAAATGATCAGGATACCTCTCAGTATCAGTATGAAGTCTCTGTGATGTAATATTCAGTGTTTCTGTAAGCATTCTCTAGAGTTCAGAGAGTTCCCATTACCTGATACCCTTGATTCACTTGGTACAACAGCTTTTCCTCATGTTCAGGTCTTCTAAATGATGAATCGTGGACTTCAGACTCAAAGCCTCTGTACTACTTTAGTACCAGCACTGTAATACTGGTAACAGTATTTCACTGAGAGGAGTCATCCAACTAGTAATGAGCTGTATTTTCTGGATGGGCTTTCCACACTACTTTTACATCATTCTACTTTCTGAATTATTGAGTGACACTTGACTCTGCATTAATGATTTTCCAGTAGCCACTGTCTCCTCACGGGTGTCTCTTATATATGCCCTCAGAAGTGTTTGTGACATCAGACAGCAGCTTTCCATAGTGACTGCACTCATGTGGCTTCTATATCATATGACTCCTCTGATGTAGCATGAACTGTGACTTCTTGTGGAAGGTGATGCCACACTGACTACATCCATAGTATTTATCTTCTGTATGAATTTTTTGATGCCTCATAAGGTGTGACTTTCTAGTGAAAGATTTCCCACATTCACTGCACTTGTAAGGCCTCTCTCCTGTATGAATTCTCTGATGAATGATAAGCTGTGCCTTCTCATAAAAAGCTTTGGCACAATCACTGCACCCAAAAGTTTTCTCTCCAGTGTGATTTCTCTGATGCTTCATAAGTTGCACCTTCTGAACAAAGGATTTCCCACACTCACTGCATTTGTAGGGCTTCTCTCCTGTATGAATTCTCTGATGCCTGAGGAGCTGTGGCTTCCAGGCAAAAGCTTTCCTGCATTCACTACATTCAAAGGGCTTCTCCCCAGTATGAGTCCTCTGGTGATGAATGAGACTCGACTTCTCACTGAAGGTTTTCCTGCACTCATTGCATTCATAGGGCTTTTCTCCTGTGTGTGTTCTCTGGTGTGAGATCAGGCTTGACTTCTGGGTGAAGGCTTTCCCACATTCACTGCATTTATAAGGCTTCTCCCCAGTATGAGTTCTCTGATGTGTGAGGAGCTGTGACTTCCCAAAGAAGGTTTTCCCACATTCAACACACCCATAGGGTTTTTCTCCTAAGTGAAGTTTTTGATGTCTTATTAGCTCTGACTTCTTGAAGAAGGCTTCTTCACAGTTGCTGCATTGGTGATTCTTCTCCCCAGTGTGGGTTATCTGATGCTTGACAAGCTGTGGCTTTCTGATGAAGGCTTCACCACATTCGCTGCACTCATACGGTTTTTCTCCTGTGTGAATCCTGTGATGCCGAGTGAGGAGTGAATTCCTGCTGAAGGCTTTTTTACACTCACTGCATGCATAGGGTTTCTTCCCTGTATGAGACCTGTGATGAGTAATCAGCTGTGACTTCCAAAAGAAAGCCTTTCCACATTCACATTTATAGGGTTTCTCTCCTGTATGCTTTCTTTGATGTGTGATGAGTTTCAACTTCTGGGAGAAAGCTTTTCCACAGTCACTGCAGCCATAGGGTTTCTCTACCGTGTGAATGACCTGATGTCTTTTAAGCTGTGAATTCCTGCTGAAGGCTTTCCCACATTCGCTGCATACATAGGGCCGCTCTCCAGTATGAATTCTCTGATGCAGAATGAGTAACGATTTCCGGCTGAAAGCCTTAGGACATTCTCCACACCCATAGGGTTTTTCTCCTGAGTGAGTCCTGTGGTGAAGAGTCAGCAAGGACTTCTGTGAGAAGGCTCTCCCACATTCACTGCACTGGTAGGGCTTCTCTCCTGTGTGAGTTCTCTGGTGCAGAGTAAGCTGTGACTTTTTAGTATAAACTTTGCCACACTCCATGCATAAATAGATTCCTGTATGTGTAATATGATTTGAAATGAGCCATGATTCTTTGACGCTGGTTTTTCTAAATTTATTCCAATCATAGCATTTTATTTCACCAAACATATTGTCAGGTTTTATGTAAAAAAATAATTTTTTACTGAGCTCATCAAATTTTTTTCTGCCACAGTTATTTTTTAGAATAAGAAAATTGAAAGGGTGTCTCAAACTTTTTTCACCTGAGGCATATTCATGAAGTCTCATTCCTAAATAAACAAAATTAATGCTTGAATTAAATATTTTCCCCAAAATATCATATCCATGGCCTCTCTCCATACTTTTGTCTTGATTATCCTGATGCCATATTTTGGAATTATTATCTAGCCAGACTTCTAAAGAGGAAAAAAATGGACCACAATATAATATACTCAATAATTATGAGTACGAATTAAATTTCTGAAATGCAACCTAGCAAGTTGGGGTGGGGAGACCCTTCAATAATATCTACTTATGGGGCATTCATGATGTTAACAGAAATTAATTATGAATACATGTATTCATCTGTGATTTTCTTCTGTATTTTGACAACTTTATTAGTTTCAGAAGATTAATAACAGTAAGTACCAACCATCAGAGACTCACAGCTAAGTACCCAGCCATCAGTCCTTGTCAAGTAGGTACTCAACCATCAGAGCCTCACAGTTAAGTACATAACCATCAGAGAGCCTCACAGGTAGAAAGGACCCAACCATCTGAGCTTAACTATCATTGAAACATGAGGTTAACAAGTACACAGAAGAGTAACAGTAGTACACCTTGTTGAAAGGGACAAAAATGACTAGATATGATGCAGAGTAAATATATCACCTTACACTTGAAAGATTAAAATAAATCAGTATCTTGACTACTGTTATATATAAAAAACATTCTCATTCAACACTGTAACTGAATCACTGACACCGTTAACTTCAGTATCACTATAGGTATTTTGTGGAATTATTTAAGAGTTAAACAGGGCTCAACTTTAATACTTTATCTAGGGACATCATTCCTTTTTAGTTGGATCTACAGTTTAAACTATATACCTTAAATCTAAATATACTGTTATCAATAGATACTATTTCAAACCACGGAATTCTTTGAATCACATCAAATAGATCTTATATACCAGCTAAGTACATTTGTTTATGACTTCCAGAAGATGATCATTTATTATATAATTTTATAGTAAACTTTTAAAAGGTTTGTTTTTACTTTTTGATGACATTATTTGTTTAGTAATTGTGAGATAATATTCCCAGGAGGTACTCCACAAGATGAAAGATTTGGCAAAGTCTCAAATCTAAAGCAACTTTATCTTTTCTGAAGGATAACTTGTGGGATGGTTGTCTACTGGGTATTGAGCCAAGGGCCTTTGCACTGAGCTACATCCTTACCTTTTCTTATTTTGAGAAAGAATCTAGCTAACTCACTAAAAGTTGTCCAGGCTAGTTATGAACTCATAATCCTCCTGCCTCAGCCTTCTAGAGTGACTGGATTCTGTGCATGTGCAAGCACACCTTGCTTCTAGGAGATAACTTTTTTTTGAGTGGGGAAGGGAATCTATCTAATCCTTAAACAAAAGAATTTCAAGGGCCAAGGATGTAACTCAGTGGGGTCACACCTGCCTGGCAAGTGGAAGATCATGAGTTCAATTCCCGCTACAAAAAAAATTTTTTTTCAAATTAAGAAGCAACTTGAACCTGCCTTACCACATGGCTTTGCTGTATAAAACACTTTTAAAAAGTGGTATGGGCAGTCCTCCTTCTGCCTCTCTTAGACACAAGCTTTCTTTCTCAATAAATTTTCCTACTCTTAAAAAAAAAATGAAGCAACTTGAGCTGCTGATGTGGAACACAATGAAAGAAGGCTTAGTGTTTTGTACATAAGTAAGTAAAGATGATACAATTCATGGAAATGAAAGACAATAGGAAAAAGGAGATCAAAAGCAAAAATGAAAGCCAATGGAAAGAAGGCAATGAAAAGGAAAAAATATAGACATGAAATGTGAAATCCACTTACAGAATTTACAGCAAGTTGTTTAAAAGTGTGAGAGGACAGAAAAACAACAGTTTTAAATTAATATCAAGAACTAAAAATTTAAAATATACCCAGGTGTGGTCGCACACACCTGTAATCCTAGTGGTGTGGTAGGCTAAGGTAGGATGATCACAAGTTTAAGCCTAGCCTGGGTAGCTTAGCAAGACTCTGTCTCAAAATAAAAAATTAAAGGACTGGGGATTTAGCTCAGTGGTTCTGCCACCCGCTTTGCAAGTGCAAGGTACAGAGTTCAGTGTCCAGTACCAATAAATAAAAAAAAAATTAAAGAGTTAGGGATGTGGCTCAGTAAGAAGACCTTGGGTTCAATTCTCAGTAATGTCCCCTTCCCCCAAAAAAACCCTAAAATAAACCCATATATATATGTTTAAATCAGTGAATTAACTAATTCCAGATAATAAAGCAGCTCATCTATAGATTTAAAGATTTAGATATTCAATTGTGTCAGAAAATCTTGGAAAAAAATCTTGGTACTTTTTGCAGGGGTGATGAGACAGGGTCTCACTATATAGTTCAGGCTGACCCTTAAACTCACTATGTAGCCCAAGCTGGCCTCAAAGTAATGGCTAGCCTCCTGTCTCAGCCTCCTGAGTGCTGGGATTATAGCTGTGCACCTCCTATCACTTTGGAAAATAGGAGGACTATTGTAAGTGTTACATATAGGACAGCACATATATTTAACACTGTTTCTGCCACACATTCGCTCCTAACCCTTATTTTATCCTATTTTCCCACAATTATATTTCTATTTCTAGTCCAGCTTTCAATATTAGTCTCTACACAGCATCCACTAATCTTTACAAAATAGAATCATACCTTCTCATGACTCTACTTGAAAATTCTGATAAATTCAAAATTTCATCATGGCATGAAAGATCTCATACAACCTGGTTTCAATTTTATCTCCTAAGACAATCTCATAATCATACTCTTCCTAATTTGATCACAAAGTCATTTTTTGCCACAGGACATCTGCATTCACGGTCCTTCTGTTTGACGTGCTCTCCCCAGTTTTCAGTATGTCTGGCCCTTCAAATCTCAATATCTTTTTTTTTTTGGAGACAAGGCCGTGCTATGTAATTCAGGCTGGCCTTGACCTCACTGTGTAGCCTAGGCTGGCCTAGAACTTGGGGCAATCTTCTTGCCTCAGCCTCCCAAGGGCTGGGATTACAGGCATGTGCCCCTATGCCAGGCTACATCTAATTATCACTAGATATTATACTAACAAGTACCCCATTTACTTCCTTCATAGTACTTATCTACTAAGTACTCAGTTCTTACCTCTCCCATGACAGTATAAAACTCATGAATGTAGGGAACAAGCTTCTTTTTCACTGTTGCACTCCTCAGTACACAAATGCTTTTCACTTATTAAACTTCTAAATCAGTTCCTTCTGTATCAATAATCTTCATCACTAATTTGTACTTTAAACCAAATTATTCATGTTCAAATATTGAATTATTGAATATATTATTTAGAAAAGAGACAAAACAGAGGAAGGTAAGAGGCAGAGCCTCCTCACTGTGTTTATTAGATTTTTATTCTATATCCTTGGAGCCTCCTTGTATTCTCTCTATGGGTTTAAAGCAAATCCATCAAATAAGAGGAAGAAAAGTAGTAACTTAAATGCTTTTGGATTGAACTAAAACTCACTAGTGTCATCTAAAATGAGAAAAATATCAGAAATTATTAAGGAGGAAGATGATAGCCTGCCTCGAAAGATTACATTGGGGACTGGGAATGAGACAAAAAAAAGACTAATTAATTAGAAAGAACTACTTTATCTTAAGAAGGCAAGGTTCTAAATGACTGCCATAGATATGTGTAAGACTTGAAAGGTAAGAAGGGTACATTTTAGCCAGACACAGTGGCTCATGCCTATAATCCCAGTACTCTGGGAGACTGAGGCAGGAAGATTATAAACTGAATCCCAACGTAGGCAACTCAGTAATTTAGTGAGACCCTATATCAAAATAAAAATAAATAAAAAGGGCTGGGAATGCAGCTCAGCGTAAAGGTATGAATTCAATCCTCAGTATTGCAAAAAAGAAAAAAGATACATTTCATTATAAACATGTAGAGATGTGGAACCTAGGTCATACAGTACATAATTAAAAATTACAACTCATGTACTAATCTTGAATCAACTGTAAAGATTTAGGAACTTTGAGTATCATTTATGAATGACATTGCAAAGTACTTATCACCCAAAACCTGAGATTTAAGTTCTACTGTGTCTGACACAACCAATTATTTTTCATATGGAAAATTCTGACTTAAAATTTCTTCACCTATTATCCAGGACTCTTCCTGGTCTAGCTTGAAAACTGCAATAGACTTGGTGATCTGATAATCTGTTAATTGGAAAACAGAGGACTTGGACCCAGTTACTTGAACTGAGAGACTAAAGTGTGAGGAAATTTTTATTTTAAAGACTGTAAAATAAATCAAATGACTATATCTTCCAAATTGGCATAGAAATCTGGGTCTCTTTGACACCTAAAACTTATATCCAAATCAGTAAGCTCCTTAGAGTCCCAGGTAATAGACACATGATGACTGGCACAATGTCTCACCCAAGAAGACGAGGCTGCTATAATTCTCCAACATCACGTCTCTGTACAAGCTCTTCTGAGTAGGGTTTAGCAGCTGCCACTCCTCCCATGTGAAGTCCACAGCAACATCTTCAAATGATATCTGAAAAGCACAATCCCTGCTGAATCAAAAGCAAGTCACGTGCGGCCTTCTGGAACAAAGGGTTCTCATCTGTTTGTGGCCAGTACAGCCATCTCTGAGTTGTGCTCTCTGCTTCCAGTGTCCTCCCTCCCCTGTATAGGCTGTCCCAACTCACTTCCAATTAACAGAATAGGACAAAGTGATGAGACACCACCTCTCAGATTATGTTATAAGGGAAAATGATTCTGTTTTTTTGTACTAAGATCGTACTTGGGTCCCTGAGCTTGTGAGGCAGGTGGAGGTACCACTGAGCTAAATCCCCAGCCAACATGATTTTTTCTTGGGAACACTTTCTCTGAGACAGTCTGGCAGCCTCACTGGGACAGCTATGTAGAGAGGCCCACATGGTAAGGAGCTGAAACTCAATGTGTGTAGGAGGAATCAGCTCTCTACTCCACCTTGGGATAGGTGCAGCCCTTCTTGGCAATTTGCTCACAATTTGTGACACAGAAAATGCTGATTCAGAGCCAGTGGGGCAGGTAGCTGGCAAATCCCCAAACCAGAGAAACTGTCAGATAAATGTTGTTTTAAGCTACTGAGGTTCTGGGTACTTCATTACACAGCTATGGTTAACTAATATGATATCCTAATTGTGCATTATGCTTTGGCAGACAAACAGAAGTATTAGAAAAATATTTATCATTGAGAAATTATTCATTTATTCACCTATACATTGAATATGAAAGCAGAATAAGCTGTCTTTAAGTGCATGGTTTTCAAAGAGGTGTCACTGGGTATTTGACAGCAGTTCTTAGCTAAGCAGGAATGATGTAACAGTGTAAGATCTCCATCACGTCTAGACTCCACTTGCAAATGACAGTCATACCTCCCAGTCGTTCAAAACTACGCCACTCACTTTCCACCAGGGGTAGTTCTGCTTCCAAGTCAGAACAACTACCTCGCTCTCTTAGCTATCAGCTAAAACACAGATAGTGATTGATTAAAGTTCCCGGAACTGTAACAGGGACTAGAAATGCAAACCTGAGTTTAAAAAAATCACATTTTATAATACTTTTTAGTCTTTCAGGGCAGAGGCAACATATGTTACAGGGGCTATGTAATAAGTATACACAGAGTAGGACAAAACAGTGTAGAAGCCCTGGACAAAGTCTAGATGGTCAGACTGCAAGCTTATGAGGACTCCTGTGGAAGACAGTGGGAGAGGGAATGTTTCAGAACAGCAGCATGAGCAAAAGCATCAAGTGTTTCATCGCTCAGGGCTGGGGATGGGAGTGTAGCTCAGTGGCAGAACACTTGCCAAGCACTGCATAAGGCCCTGGGTTGGATCCCCAGAATCACACACACACACACACACACACACACACACACACACACACTCAGAACACAACAGACGTGGAAAAATGTGGGGATGATCCTGGTCTCCTTTAACATGAAATCTAAAACCTGGTGGGATAGGCAGAGGTCAGCTTTCAGTTAACTCAGGTACAATTGAACTTGTTTACTCCAACAGCTACAAAAGACACAGAAGAGGAAATAAAAGCTTAGAGCAAGCCCTCCAATAGATATCTAACAGGATCTTTCCTCATAAAGCTAGAGCCTTAGGGTAACTCAGTGTTTAGATCAATGATTAAAAAATTTTCCCAAAAATTCAGAGACAAGCTAGATTTATTTATATAGGTGTGGGGGCTAAGTTTACAATATGGGTATGATTTGTAAAAACCTTATGCACAGAAAGCTGTAAAGTGGTTTGGGGTTAGAAGGACGTCTAAACATCTGGTAGAGTTGAATGTGTAGTTTTATCTAGTGAAAGATACTGCATACTTCCCACAAATAGTTTCAAGAAAACTGAGTGCAGAGTAAAAAAGTCAGAATGTACTTCAAAAATAAAGTTTAATGAGTCCGGAGATCTAGCTCAGTGGTGCTGCCGCCTGTCTTGCAAGTGCAACGTCCAGAGTTCAACAGCCAGTACCAAAAATAAATAAATAAATAATAAAGTTTAATGACTGAAATGAATTTTTTAAATTTAAAAGAGTACATACCTATGTATATATATGAGATATATGAATGAATATATGAAAAATGTGTGTGTGTATATTTTTTTTGAAATGCCTGAAATGTCAACACCACATGATATTAGTGAAAAGATAAATACATAGCTCAATAAAATATATAACTCAGAAGTAAACCTCCACAAATACACTCAATTGATTTTGCAAAAAATCCAAAAATCAGAGAGTATTCATAGTAGTGCACACCTGTGATCCTAGCTACTCAGGAAAAGCTGAGTAAAGAAGATCATAAATTGGAGGCCAGTCGGGGCAATGTAGGAAGTTCCCACAACAAAATAAAAAGTGCTAGAACAACGTACAAAAAAACAAAAACAAAAACAAAAAAAACTTAAATCCTTAACACATACTTCATATATAAAAAGTAACATAAAACATAGGCTGAGGATTTAGCTCAGTGGTTCTGCTGCCTGCCTTGCAAGCACAAGGTCCCAAGTTATATCCCTGATACCAAAAAAAAAAAAAAAAAAAAACCAAAAAAAAAAAAAACAAAAAAAAAAAAAAAAAAAAAAACACA